TTGATTTGTGTAATGAAAGAAAACATTAATGATTTATTAACAAGGTAATATTGATTAGTTCAATCGATCGTATGTACACATTAACGCATAGCATCTAACCATCTCATAGTTAAATACTTCGTATGTATTAGTACAAAGTTATAAATTAGTGAACATTATTTTGATTGGATCAATAACTTGAGCTGTTGTTTTAAATTAAATTAGGATCATTGTTCGTGTAGTTTAAGTATAATGATCTACACCATCTCTAACTATTATTTTAATACTCCACCCGTCCCTTTATTTTGTCCCTTTGTCATTTTTGGGGTCAAACTTTGAAAATATTGACCATAAATTACCACTAATCTATAAAACAGTAAAACTTAATTTTGTCACGAGACTCATGAGTCATGACTCATGACTTCATGAGTGATCTTTTTAAATTTGTATCATTATATATTTTATTAATATAACGTTTTTATAATTTTTACTTGTATGAAAATAAAGATATACTACGTAGATGTTTTAATACGCGTCTTGGAGACTGATCCCGATCAAATGAATACACAACACACAAAACATCATCTAATCAGTCTCAACCATAGATCAAAAACAATCTACGGTTAATTTTTTTCTCCCACAACACACACGGATCACCACTCTCAACCATAGATTAAAAACAATCTACGGTTAGATTTTTTTCCCCACAACACACACGGAAAACCATTCTCAACCATAGATTAAAAAATCAATGGTTAGATTTACATCTCAACCATTTTGATACCCTAATTCCACTTTCACTTTCACGCCTCCTAGTTCTTTCTCTCCTCATCTCCTCTCAGATCTCACTCATTCATTCACGGCGCCTCTTCGTTTGTCGTCTCTCTCATTCATTTTCAATTCTCCCTAATTCATTCACGGCGCCTTTCGTTCGTTGTTGCTGCTCATCGGTGTTGTTGCTGCTCTAATCCTCGCTTATCAGTGTTGTTGCTGCTCTAAACCTCTCTTTTTTTGTCCAGGTATGATATCTCTCTTCCTCGTACTTCTTGCAACTGATTTAATCTGATTTATGAAGTAGAAGAATTAAAGTTGTAGTTATAATTCCCCTTAATGAGTATATAATTGTATAATTGTATAATTCCTTCACTGGTAATCAATCTTACTCTATTTCAGTGTTGTTTGATTCAAAGTTCCTTGCTTTCTGTGTACTTGTTATTGTGATTTCATTTTAACTGAAATTAGTTTTTTTGAGGGAAAATTGATCAATGAATTGCTTTTTCATTGATGTGCTAATTTTTTGTAACAAAAATCATGATAATCTGTGATTTTTTATTTATATCATGTATAGATAGTATCATTCATGGCATTGATTAATTTAATTTCAAAATAGTATGGATTCATAATTTCGCTATGATTTCCTTCTGTTCAATTCTGAGTTAAAATTTTATCTGGTTTTCATTTTATCATGCCAAATATGAAAACCCTTTTGAATATTGGTTTAATTGAGTTAATTTTGTGTTAAAAATTGGAATTGCATGTATATGTTTTTTTGGGCTAGAAATAGTAAATTAGGTTAAGCTTATACTATAATGTAGGTTTTAATAGAAAGGGGTTTTTTCTAATTTGTGAAATTAATTGTTTTTTTCTCACTTAAATCAGGAAAAATGAGAATGAAAAGAAAATCTCTAATTGAGGAAAGGTATTATGGGATCAAAAAGAGGCAGATGAATTTTATAAAGATGGTACAAGAAAGAGCTGTTAAAATGAAAACTTCTTGGGTGCCTTTTTTACCTAATGAGTATATAATTGTATAATTGTAAGTTAGGTTAAGCTTAATGAGTATTTAATTTTCTAGTAGTTAAAAATTAATGGGTTGCTACTGAAATTTGATTATATGAGTTTATTAGCGTTTATAGAAAAATAATATGGGATTAATGACTTTTCACTCTCTATTCTATTTGTTGGTTTCACTATTAAGTGTACATCTCAATGTAATGGGTTTTCGACTCTTAACTAGAGTGTAAAAAGTACCTAAATGTGTTAGCATTGATAGGGACAATTATTTGTTATAAGGCTGAAATGTGTTGTTTTGATCCTGTTTTTTCAGCAATGGATCAAGGGTATGAAAATTATGATGAGGACAGACAAGATTATTTAGAAACTTCAGATTCTCAAAACACTATTCAGAATCAAGATTCTTCTCAGCAACAAGTCACTACCACTAGTGGTAGTAAGCGTGGACGAACATCAGATGTGTGGAGGCATTACACCTTTTTTGATAAGATTGTTGGTCTTGCTCCGATAAGATATGCGCGATGCAATGTTTGCGGTAATGAATATAAAGCACCAGGTAAGGCTGGTACTTCCACTTGTAAAGCTCATACTAAGGCATGCATGGGTAAAAATATACATCATCCTGCAAATCTTGAAAGTGTTGTTGATCCTACGTTTAATCAAACTCGTCATTTACAATTGCTTGCTAGAGCTATAATTTTGCATTCCTATCCTTTAAATATTGTGGAGCATCATGGCCTTAGGGAAGTTTTTACGAATCTGAATCCTAATGTGAAGCATGTGTGTAGAAACACTATGTTGAAATATTGTATTGCTAGAGCTATAATTTTGCATTCCTATCCTAAATCGACCATCGATGGAGATTGATAATTATTTGAATACTCCTCGTCAACCATCAATTGAAGGGCAGAATTATGATGTTCTCAAGTATTGGGAATCTCAAATTAATGTGTACCCCATATTAGCTATTATGGCTAGGGATGTTTTGGCCATTCCTATTACATCGGTAGCCTCTGAGTCTTCTTTTAGCATGGGTGGTCGTATTTTAAACAAGTATAGGAGTGCACTTTTGCCTAAGAATGTTGAGGCGTTGGTTACCACACAAAATTGGTTACGTGGTTATGATTGTGATATTGAAGAAGACGTCCTTGAAATTGGTAAAGAGGTGATAGATGAAAGTTTTGCATCTAATTAGAAAGGTATGGATGTTGCTATTTTACTGATGCTTAATTTATATTGTGTTGCTTAATTCAAGCTTTCTTGTTTTTTTTTTTTTGTGAGAAAAGTGTAGCTTCATTTCTTACACTAATGATAAGTATAGGGTGCTGCTACTGCTGACTGCTTCTTCTCCTTACTGTTGTTCTGCTGACTTGCTGTGCTGCTGACTTGCTGTTCTGCTGTTGTTCTTCCATTCTGCTGCTGCTCTTCTTCCATTTTGATGTTCTGCTGCTCTTCTTCCATCGCTGCAGTTCTGCCATTCTGCTGCTGCAGTCTGCAGTGCTGCTGATCTGCCATTCTGCTGTAGACTGTGGTGCTGGTGTTAATCTTGTTATGCTAAAAACTTGTACAATTCTGTTGTTAAAACTTGTTTGTATGGATTGGTTGGTTTGATTTTGTTACTTTGTTGTTAAAAATTGTTTAATTATGTGTATGGATTGGATTAGTTTGTTTTGGTTTTGAAAAGTTGAAACTTGTTGAATTAGAAGTTTTATAACTTGTTAATGCTATTAATCCTATTATGCTACTGGAATACTGCTATGTTGATGAATAAGGCCCAAAAGGCCAAAAAATTGTAGGTTATTGCCCAAAAAACCAAAATTGCAGATTATTCCCCAAAAACCAAATTAAAGTCAATACTCACGGATTAGCTAACGAAGTGCTATTTCTAAGGGAATTTAGTATTAACTAAGTTACTAAGATATATACAATTAATATGATAAGTATATGGTCTCAAGAAAAACTGATAAGTATGGAATATATGCTAAATATATATTCTAAGATTTCTAATACTTAATCCAAATAATTACATAAAAAAGTGCACCAAAAAAAATATTATTATTACATACAAAAAAAGCTTGTAAACGGTTCGATTTATAAGCGGTTTGGTTCATAAACGGTTCGGTTTATAAGCAGTTCGGTTCATAAACGGTTCGGTTTATAAGTAGTTCGGTTTACAATCAGTTCGGTTTTTAAATGGTTCGGTGCAAACGAGTAGCAGTTTGCTAACAGTTCGGTGTAAGCGGTTTTTATGCCAGTTTAAATGGTTTCGGGTTAGAAACGGTTCGGTTCATTTTCGGTTCGGTTTCCTTTTCAGTTCGGTTTAGATTTGGTTCGGTTCTTAATCGGTTTAACGTTTTCTCGGATCGGTTCGGTGTCGGTTTTACTAACATGCGGTTCGGGTTGGTTTTCGGTTTCAAAAAAATCGGTTTTTAATCGGTTCGGTTCTCATTCGGATCGGTTGAAACAGTTCGGTTTCACCGGTTCGGTTCGGTTTTTGACAGTGCTACTCAAAAGTGATAGGACAAAACATGCAAAACCAAAAATATCAAAATCTAAATTGGGTACGATGACAAACCAAAAAATGAAAACAAAAAAAATAAAATTTTCCATAAACTCTCTCTATAAATTTATTTTATCATTTTTTTTGAGAATTTATAAGTAAAAGGTAATTTTGATTAAATTTCTTATTAAAGTGAGTCATATTGGCAAATTCTCAACTGGATTCTTGGCTCTATTACATGTGGTTGTGTCCAATAGGAGAGAGAATCTAGGTAAGAAATGGAATATCAAGCACACCTTACATTTCTTCTTTCACTTTCTCTTTCACAATAGTATTCATTAGCCAGCCTTTACAGCCATACCCAGCTAACTACTCTTTTCCCTACTATACTAGTATTCCACATTTTCAACTCTCCTCTTAATTTATTAATTCTATCCATAATCCTCTCCATTATTTTTCCTTAAGGACCCATCCTTTTCTTTAATAACAATAGAAATAATTAAACCGACCACCTTAATCACGTTCTTAACCTTACCTTGAACCACAATCACATTGATTGTTCTTCCGTTTAGTACTTAAGGTAGACAAATAACACGATTAAAGAGCATAGTAAAACCGTAACTTTATCATTGACCTACCCAACATTCTCCAACCCCTTAATCGTGTTCGGACAAATTAGTAACACTTCAAGTGTTCTAACTTCTAACGTTTAATACATCACCCATCGGGGTAACATAATAATACGACAAAAGAGCACAATAAACTGTAGGTCTAGTATCGAGTATCGACCTACCCTTTTTATCTTTAGTAAATAATTGTATCATGGGCATGTAAAACTTTCCTTTTGGGTGAGACTGTTTGCAGTCACAAGAGCTAAATTCGACAGTAGACTGCTGTCCTTTTTTAGTTTTTTTGTCTGCTTAAATTCTCAATATTAATTTTAATTTTTTTTTACAAATTACATTCTCTAAATTTGTCTCTAATCTATCCTGGTCTCTTTCTTTTTCTCTCTCTTCATTTTCTCTTTCTCTCACTCACTCCATCTAAAGTCCAGATTTGTTTCAGTTTCCTGCAAAAAAAAAAAAAAAAAAAAACGTTTATTTTTGCTCTGAACACATGATTTAATCGAGGTACTAATTCATTTGTTTGAAAGCGTTTCTGGGTTTTTTCTGAATTTTGTTATTCTGGGTGCCGTTTTCAAGATGAACTGAGGTACGTTTTTAAATTACAGAATTCTTTAGTTTTGTATAATTGTATTCAATGTGTTTTTTAGTGATGAGTTTAGTTGTAATTGGGTGTTTTTTTGATGTGGGTTTTGATAGGCACATCAAATGTTTGTGAAAAGGCTTAAAAGAGAGAATTTTGAATTTTGGGGTTTGGAGGGAGTTTTTTCATCAAAATGAGGGATTTCCCATCTTGTTTTGGGGAAAATGCTGTGCAGATTCCGGATTCTTCATCATCATCTGGTAATAAAACTGCTCAAAATCTGGTAACTTGTGCATATCAATGTCGATTTCGAGGGCGGTCTTGTGTAATTACAGTTACATGGAGTAAGAATTTGATGGGGCAAGGTCTAAGTGTTGGAATTGATGATTCAAGCAATCAATGTTTGTGTAAGGTTGATGTTAAGCCATGGTTGTTTTCTAAGAGAAAAGGGTCTAAAAGTTTAGATGTTGAGTCTAGTAATATTGATATATATTGGGACCTTTCATCAGCAAAATTTGGATCTGGACCTGAGCCTTTGGAGGGTTTTTACTTGGCAATTGTGTGTGATAAGCAAATGATTCTTCTACTTGGGGATATGAGGAAGGAAGCTTTTAAAAAGACTAATGCTACACAAGTTCCTAGTACTGCTGTTTTCATTGCTAAGAGGGAACATGTTTATGGGAAGAAGGTATTCTATGCAAAGGCTAAGTTTAGCGAAAACGGTCCTGTGCACGATCTCATGATTGAGTGTGATACCTTTAGCACTAACGACCCGTGCTTGATTGTCCGTGTGGATACCAAAAATGTGATGCAGGTCAAGCGGCTTCGTTGGAAGTTCAGGGGTAATCACACTATCCTGATTGATGGCCTCCCTGTTGAAGTTTTCTGGGATGTGCATAATTGGCTTTTCAGTACATCTCCTGGAAGTGCAGTTTTTATGTTCAGAACTAGTCTTTCGGCTGAGAAGATATGGGCTAGCCAACCTCTTTGTGATCCTAGTGTATTGCATTGGTCAGCTTCGCAAAGAATTCGAGATTCTCAATCGCAACAACTTGGTTTCTCTTTGATTTTGTATGCCTGGAAGCAAGAATAGTGAGATTTAAGGATTCTTTGTTGAGTGCTAAGTGCTAACAGAGATATATTAGGGAGTGTCCATTTACCTTTCTCTGTGATGGAACTACACCATAATTTTTATATAATTGGTTTTCCTTTGTCTTCCCATCCTTTTTGTGGAAAAGGAAGACAAATTAAATAGATCAAAGTGATTTTTGTTGCCTTTGTAAATTCCTCTGTCCAATATTCTCTTTAGTTTTTACGCAATATTCTATTGCTTTAGAGGATCAGATGAAGATGATTTCAATTGTATCTCAGTTGCATACTTGTATGAGTTGTATCACTTGTTCAGTATGCCTCACATACAGAAAGCATGACACTTGTTTGTGATATAGTTAGCTTCTTCTCTTTCATGTTAGTTTATCAAGTGAACATTTGATTTGTGTGTGAGAGATAAACTCCTCCTTCTGCAGGTTCTTGGATAAGCTTCAAGCGAGAAGAATCCAAGGTTGGGATATCCTTGATCTTTCATTTAGCAGAAACAAAGATTGCTGTTGTCTTCTATCAAATGCCTTTTATTTATAAAAATAATTTTACCTACTTTGTTTTCCTGCAGGGATGGGCACATTGCAATATTGGTGTGTCATATGTTGGGCTGTCTGGTGATGGTGGCATCCTATAGTTTGCAATTTTTATGACTTGTTGGTAGCTATTCTACTTGTACATGTACAATGCTGCTGGAGTTATGCTTTTTGTGACCGTGGAAGATCATAGCTTATGGTGCATCAGGTAATTGGTATATCTCTGTGACTGGCTGACTATAAATTAGAAGTTTTTAGAACCTGTCAAGAAATTATGCTAGCTATAGATTCCACCGATAAATCTGTTTTGTTGGCTTAACATTTAAATTATGCTTCATGTTTTTGATGGAGTTCAACTATTACTGTTTTGAGGTTGGTGAGTACCTTTGGCGTTGAGGTCAAATTACAAAATAAAATTTAGTTATTATGTATTAGTTATTTTGGAATATATAATATTAACTTGTATACCTTTTATTTCAAACTGATTCTTACTGTCACTTTTATGTTTTTCTGTTTTGGAATTTATTCACATCTTTTAACTAACTCCTTTTAATATGTGGTGTTTGTTGACACCAGAAGCTTTTTATAAGCATAAGCATCTTGTATATTTACATGTATGTGGCATCATAACATGCCATTTTAGTAGTATTCGTGTTTAAAGCATCTCACTACGATTCAACAATGATGTCGTAGCATTAGCTTTGATTCTTATTGACTATAGTTGATGATATTTGTAGACATTGATCTGAGGGCAGTGGGCCACACAATGAAGCGATTTCCTTAAGTTAGGTGACCCTTCTGCCGCCCCCTAGTTCAACAAGTTTAAAGAGGAAACAGGTGGAGATCAGCGCCAAGTCCCAGTTTGCTGCATCAAAGCTGAATGAATACTTGTTGTCACCTGGTATTACTTTTAATTCTGGATACTAAATTTTTAATAGTTATAGTTTTGGCATGTGACTATTCTATGCTGTTGTCGACATTATGCATTCAACCTTGTTTGCCTATATGGTTATATCTTTGACAACCTACCTGGCATCAAGATAACCTCCTATCCAATTGGCGGGATTCTCCATCTTTTGGCTATAGAGTTCGATTAGGGAGTACCTTAAAGGGTTGAATCTCTCATAGTGTGCTGATATTCATCCCTATCGAATTGTCAATACATCAAGGAATTCTTTCATTTACTCTAGAAATTTATATTTACCTTCTGCAATTTACCCTTTCTGCTCATGAAGTGTTTAGTTGCATCTGTCATTTACAAATCCATATGACTTGGCTATCGTGTGAAAATTAGGAGGCTATAGCATCCATCTGTTTTTGCTTCTTTGGCGAAGATTCTCTTTTTGTGAAAATACCTAGATAAAGAGAATTTTCCTTTTGTTCTCTTCTAATTCCCTACGACATGTCTACCTTCACACCCTTTGATCTCTGATTTTGAAATTTCAAACTGTTCAATCACTACGTAGTGATCTTTAGGTTTTGTGGATTGCTAATAAGTAACATAAGTAAACTGCTTGTTACTGTCTGCCCACCAGTAGGTCGGTACCACATGGTTTTTCTGGTATTTAAATCCAGTATGCTTTTTTGGTGAATGGAGAAATCCCAACCTCATCTTTAAAAAAAGAGGGGAGGCTGGGTTAGGCCTGTTTGCAGCCTTAAGTGTAGAGAACATTTAAGGAAAATTGTGCCCTTATCACTGACAAAAGTTAGTTTGTAAAATGGTCCAAAAAATTGCCATTGTTACCCTGCTTTTATGAGCCCCTCTATAAATGCCAAAATGTTAGTTTTCTACTAGTATCTATATGTTACAATATCAGGTGTAGTTAATCTTGTGACTCTTCATGCTAAATTAATACATCCCTTGTATTGTTAAAAGAAGTTAGTATACTTTCTCACATGTTGACTATTAAAAAGATAATATTATTGCAACTGCCTTGTAATTTTAGATTACCAGATAAATTTGGCAATTTGACCACAGTTATCTTGTGGGTTTCAGATAGAGCTGAATTAGTGAGATTGAAATAATCTCAAGACTCTCAGATCTTGGATTCATGACATTACTTCAACAAATAGGAGTTTGTACCTTGTACACAAAAATTAGCATAATAAAATTTTATAGCTTGCATGCTGTTTTTGCAATCAGACTTTTGCTATAGAAGCGTCTACCAATGATAACATTTTTTTGATACATGGGAATTGGGAACATGTAAATGACGTCTGCTTTTGGTTTCAGACTGAAAATTTCATTATTCTAATTATATTTCATTCCCTAAAAGGAGGTGTAATTGTGATGAAATAGCTAATAGTGGAATCATATATTCAGAAGTGGCTCTGTTTCAAGTGGTTTTGAAGTCTTAAGTTCAGTAGAATTTGAGTGGGGCAAATATCTAGTATTTAATCTTCTTGTAATATCGTAGAAGTGTTGATGAATGAAATACATGCTGAGGCATGTTAAAGATTCTTTTAGTTGAAGCCTTTGCTGATACTGTGCATTTACCCAAGTTGCTTGAACTACATATGTTGATGGGTTCTGCTTTCATTATTGCTAAAATTTCAGGCTTGGTTGATGCTGTCATTACTTTGTACTGCTTGTCTGCTTGTGGCTTACTATAAATTTGTATGGAGCAGGATTTATGTAGCCTTCCATTGTACAGAATCCGATATATGTGTAGTTCTTATGATTCTTCAGCCATCTTTAACTCTGCTGCTTTGTTGCTTTGTAGGACTAAAAGACTGCATACATCTTCATCCTCTTCAATAAAGTTGGAAGTTCAAATTAATGGAGAACAATTAAAATCAATTGCATCTAGTGTGCAGTACTCCGTCTGCTGTTAAGTAGAGGTAAGTTGGTGAATTGAAGGTGAAGATTTGAAGAACAAAAGTCAGAAGCCTTTGTAAAATTGCAAACATTAAAATTTGCATACAAACTCCTCGGCTTGATGAGTAAATTGTTAGTTTTATATCCACTTAATTAGGCCTATTTACTATATTCCCAGTTTTGAAAACTTGATTTTTTTATTTTTTTATTTTTTTTACAGGGAAAGGTTTCTATCTTCATCACTGTAATATACGAAGTATTGAAAGTAAAGCTCTAAAAATAATATTATTCTGAGTACTAGAATTATTATTATTAATTTTTTTTAACATTCTTAAATTTGGTTTTGAATTGAACACATTACATAACTTTTTATGTGACGCTCTCTATTCTCTTGAAAATTCTTCTATTTTTTTTTAGGCAGTATAGTAGTTAGATTTTGATACTTTATGTGAGCTTGTATAGTTATTGACTTATCATAAGAAACCTTGTTATTCCTGGAAGTTGGCACTGGAATCACTGTATGTTTCAGTTTAAAAAAATTTAGATATTTTTCATGGCAAAATCTTATACGAGACAATTTCACAATTAGTGTGATTTTTTCACCCCTGTTTTTTTAGTGGTAACCTGTACAATTTTGTGCTGTAACTTTTAAACATGTCACAATAAATTAACATGAGACAATTTTACCCAAGACTAGCTCCATAGTAACGATACGAAGGAGGTCACTATAGATTTGTTACTGAATCCTCTCTGTTTCATGTGTGGCAGGAATGCAACGGTACAAAAGCTCAACAGCTCTTGGAAAGGGACCTTTGCCCTTGATGTATCCAACTACTGCCTGATTAATGGCTGAGTGGGACTCTTGCTGTTTGGCTGAGCTGCTAACTCGACCAATTTTCTAACTCTATTGACCATACATTTCTTTGAGATGCCCTTTTCTTCAAGGACTGAGACATTGGTCAATATGACTCAACCATATAACTTTGTAGGAATATGTTTGTCCAAGAATATGGTTTTGCAAGAGATGACAAAACTTCAACTGCCATTTCTGGTATTTTTATGTCGATTTGGAACCTTTTACTGTCTGTTGCTGTCTGTGAAATGCTTCCAGAATAGTGTACTTTACACTTCTTTTGGGTCATCAACCTCTGAGTATATAATACAGGCAGATTTTGGGTCTAGTTCTTGATATACAGTTTTACTTTTTACAAGCGTTTACTTCATGCAAGTTATGTTACGAGTAACTAGATCTTGCATGTAGGGGTGAAACAAATTTGGGTTAAAACCGAACCAAACCGAAAACCGAACCGAATAAGAAATATGGTTCGGTTTTTTTTCGAAAGTGGTTCGGTTTGGTTTTGAAAAAAAAAATATTTCGGTTTTCGGTTTGGTTTCGATTTTAAAAATTGAAAAACCGAAAAACCGAACAAAACCGAACAGAACCGAAATTTTAAGCCCAAAAGCCCCCTAGCCCAACACTTTTACCCTAAGTATATAAAGGAAAAAAAAAAACCCTAATCCCTCACTTCCTCATCTGACTCTCAGTCTCTCACCTCTCCTTTCCTCTTCTTCTCCTGATCTCACCTCTCCGCCCTTTCTTTCTTCTCTTCTCAGAATCTTAGTTCTTCCTCTCTCTCCTTTCCTCTTCTCAACTCCGTCCTTTCTTTCTCCTCTTTGATCTCTTCTCCATCACTCTGTTCTCCTCTTTTCCCCACCAGCCCACATCGAACAAGTTTATTTACAACGTTATTAAGCCATCAACTGAGTAGCTAAGGTTTTTCATGTCAAATTCATCCATGAAAACACTAGATCTAGTGTTTTCATGGTCGAACTTGACCTTTAAAACCCAAATTCGAGGTTTTTCGGTGGAATGTGAGGTATGTCCTCTTTTTCTTAATTTTAATTTGATTTGAATTTTTTTTCCTACTTTATTTTTATGGTGGCGTAGCCGTGTAGATTGAATTGCGGTGGTGATAGGTAGTTGTGGGTCGATCTAGGGTTAGTGTTTGGGTGGAAAGGATGAAGGGTGGTGAAATAAGGTGGGTTGTGGGTTGTGGTGGGTGCGGATCTGGGTTAGGGGTGGTGATAAGGTGGTTTTTGGTGGTTGTTGTGGGTGGTAGTGGTGATAGTTTCTATGGGTGGTTAGTGGTGGTTAGTGGGCATTGTTGTGGGTGGTTAGTGGTGGTAGTTTCGGTGGTTTTTGGTAGGTTAGGGTGGGTGGTAGGTGGGTTTTAGGTGGGATGTTTGTATGGTTTGGTTTGGTTCAATTTTAATTGGTGTGGTTTGGTTCGGTTTTTTTGCAAAATGTGATGTTTAGGATGCTTGAGAGGAAAATTCGGTGCGGTTTGGTTTTTTTTAGGAAAACCGAAATTTAGGTGGTTTGGTTTGGTTCGGTTTCAAAGCTAAAGTGGTGCGGTGTGGTTTGCAAAATCAAGAAACCGAAATTTGGTGGTTTGGTTTCGGTTTGGGCAAAAAACCAAACCGAAAACCGAACTTTCACCCCTACTTGCATGTATGTGATTACTACCCGTTTTTTTTTTGGTTGTAAACAACTTCCTATAATTGCAAAACTTTGTCTAGTATTACTATTTTACATATTTTGTCCATTTTTGCCTTTTGTGGGGTCCACATTTGCGTTTCATCCCCAATTTACTTCAATTTTATGATCCTCCTCTATCATTCAATTTTACTCCGGTTTCCTTCACTTTTCACCATCTTCCTCAAACCTAAGCGAATTATACTGCTCTAAATTTCTTTCTTTTGACTAATTTAGCACCAGTTGACTTATAATAACCCTCTGCAATTCTAAAATTTCTTCATCAACCCATTTGAAAAGCTTACATGCCTTTCTACCAGATACAATATCATAGCGTTTACATGCCAAAGAAACCATTGAATTGGATATTCTACCTTTGAAAATCAGATCAAGATTAGCCAAAAAAAAAAAAAAAAAAAAAAAAGAATTGAATACTAAAGCCCTAAATACAAAACCCCTAAATCAATTGAAACCCTAATACCTAAACTAAATCCCTAATTACGATAATTTAAGAAAATTAAAAACCCTAAAACCATATATTGCAAATAAATTACAAAAATTACTTAAAAAATTACATGTTGTTAGACTTTGGCGAGTAATTGTCGAATTAAGGGTTCTTGGGTATCTCATCGTGGTTAGGGGAAAAGAATAATACGAAGTAGAAGAAATGAACATGTGAGCCCTACAAACGGAAAGGAATCCGTTAAACGATAGTCTTAGACAAAATTTTTGCATTAATAAGGTAGTTGTTTTCAAATTTTTATTGTTCGGGCAATTGTTCACAAAACAGGGCTTCTTATAGGGTAGTTTTAGATCGGATAATATTTCCATATATTTATTTTACAAGACTATGACAATAATTATTAGGATGATATCTTTAAATTATGATAACGATATTGGATTATTTCTTTCTTTATTCTTTTTTTTTTCCTTTGCCTCAAGTAGTTAAATTAATGAAGGGGATACATTATTCTTATACAAATACATTTCATGACGTTTCTTTCCAAAAATATATGTATAAAAAACAAAGATACAAAATGTATAGTATATACTCCCTCCGCCCGTAATTATCTGCAACATTTACCTAAAATGGGTGCTCTATATTATTTGCAACAAATTTTTTTCTTTTCTTTTTGGGTAATATTTAACTATTAATTACCCACTATTACCCACTTTTTTGGTTAGTGGTCCCATCCACTACCTAAAACCCACTACAAATATTTGTGTTCACACTACAAATACCAAATATATCCTTATTTTTCAACATTTAAATGTTTAGTTTATATATATCATCAAATGGGTAATTTTGTATTTTTACTTTTCTCTCTCATTAATTAAACCCACCAAAACTCAATTAACACTCCCCTAAAAGTTTTGCCTAGGAGTCCGAAATATTGTCCTTTGTTGCAGATAACCTCGGGTGGAGGGAGTATAAGAAATAAGTGACGAGTTATAAAATCATATAGGGTATATCGATTATTACGAAATAATCTTAATGCTTTACAACAGCCCATATTAATACTTAACTTATAACAATCAGTGGCTCATGGAGGCGGATGTACCATGCGCATGGTACATCCGTTAAAAAAAAAAAGCGGAAAGAATATTGTATAGAAATGGAGTGATTTCCATGAATAATGTGAGAAGAGAACAAAATTCCATAAATACGCTATATTTTAATAAAATTCCAGACATACCGTCCACGTCAGCAAGTGTAATTATTATTATTATTATTATTATTATTATTATTATTATTTTTCCAAATCTAAAACAAAACCGCTTATTGAATTAGCGGTTACATATAATGTAAAACTTGCTAATTGAATTAGCGGTTTTATGTATTGTAATATTGATTGGCTTGCTCGAGTAAGTGGTGAAAAACTAAACCGCTAATTGAATTATCGGTATCAAGCTTTTTATTTTTTGTAAAAAAAATTAGTTTACAAAAGATGACGTGGACAGTACGTCGGGAATTTTATTAAAATGTAGCGTATTTATGGAATTTTATTCTCTTCTAACATTATCTATGGAAATTGCTCATAGAAATGTAAAAAACATTTAGTTAAAGTGAAAAGAACATGGTATTGAATTGTAAAGAACATATATGTAAAGTGAAAAGAACATATTGTTAAAATGTAATGAACGTGATAAAAGAACATAAGAGAGATAAAAAAAAAAGAACATAAAGCTATTAATAACAATGAACATGACACTATTTTATAAAGAACACACTGTTAAATAATATTCTTTATCTCAGTGTTATTTGATTGTCAGTGTAATGTATTTTTATTTGTGACATAATATTCATTGTTTACTGTGAAATGTTTTTTAAATTTTGTCTTTAGATTATGGTGGGTGAATGTAAATAATATTTATTATATAATATTATCATGTTCTTTATTAATATTATGGATGTTCTTTAGGTATACAAAAAGAAGATAAAGCTGGATATTCTTTGTAAAACAGCTATATGTTCTTTACAAAACAACTATATGTTCATTCCGCCTTTTATCAAAAATCCGGATGTACCATGCTTGGTCGTACATCCGCCTCCACAAAGAAAATTTCAAACTTATAATACCCTAAAGATTTGATTCACTAAATCAGATCCTAAAGATATTACTCACCAAATCATATCCTAATATCAATGTTGAAACTTGCATATATAATCTGGAAATCTTAAATTTGGCAATTTTTTCGACATTAATCATCAATAATCTATCAGCTAAGCTATTTGTACTCTAATAGTTAATTAACAAATTTCACACTTTAATTTGCAGTGCAAACGTAACTTTTTTCAACAAAATTACAATAAGTGTAGATATTATTAAGGAAGGTGATTAGTAATTTCGATATTCGATATTCGATAATAAACATTTCTCTTATTGTTTAGAGGGAGATCGATTTTTTACTAATGTAAAATGTTGTCAATTCGTATCTTATTTCCATCACTTATCAGATTAATGATAAGAATTATGTTATAACTTTATTGATAATTGCTACCATTATTATTAATTATTGAACCAGTAGTCTTACAGTTTAATTTATTATTTTAAATGCTTTAGTTATTAAGATTATATATTATTATTAGACTTTAAAAGGCTGAAAACTAGTCTATTTTCGGACAACATTAGAACGGAAATTAAAACAAGTTGATAACTAAAAATCAAGCAAGCTGAATCATTGAATACGGAGTATTATATTTCAGTACCCAAAAATTAGGGCAACGAATTCAACAATGGAAAGAAAATAAGTACGGAACAAATTAATAACCTAAACTCCTCGTAAAACAATTCAATCACACACAAATCATAAACTAATCATCAATGAATATAGTGATCTTTGATTCAACAGACTCATCTTCATCCATGTTATCATCTTCTGCAACATAATCATTAGAAGCCACGGAAGAAGCAACAACACTCGATTCAACGCGGTCATCCTTAACCTTGTTCACCCCATCATCATGATCATACTCTACATCCATATCCTCCTCGCCAAGCTCTTTAACATCATTATCATCGTTCTCGTTATCATTATCGTTGTCGTCGATGCCAACAACATCACGATTGTCTTCAGCAGTAGTGTAATAAGACTTATAACTTGGTTGTTCCGAAGAAGTCAACACAATTTCCTTGACAATTCGGCCTAATATACGTTGGCGTCTACTAGGAGGTCGAGGACGATCAGGTTGAATAACGGGGGTTGTGTAAGAAAAAGACTTTTCTTGCCTATTAGGAAGGATTACTCTAACTGCGTCGTATTCGTCGTGGTATTTTTGACAAAGGAATCGAAGCTCTTCAACGCTTAAGTCGTAGTCGTCACCTCCGGTAGCGTGGTTGATGCAGTTGTGCTGGCCTTCTAGTACTACGTAATGAGCCATTGTTGTTTTTTTTTTGTTTGAGAGGAAGTGTTGTTATACTATAAGCTAGGGTTTAAGATGAACAAATGTAATTAGGTAGGGTTTTGAGATGAGCAATGAATGATATTGAGTTTAAGTTGGGTTTGTATAGAACATTAGAACTTAGATAACTTGGCAATCAAGGTTTTATTGTCGGTTTTGGTAAGTTTTTTAGGGTGAAATTTGGTTTTGTTTTGGATTTTAATTACTTGTTTAAGTTTTACTTTCCTTATTTTTCTTACACTTAACATACCCTATGTTCTTCGGATTTTATTTGGGACGCGTTAATCAATTTTCTTACAACCGTATCTTTGATTTGTTATTTTCAATTTTTTTTCTTTCCATATTTATTTTTTGTTTTAGCCTTAATTTTTTTTTTTTGAATTTCTTTGATTCTTAATTTTTTTTTCCATCTTTAATCATTAAATATTTATGTATATTAGCTAGTAAGAATTATAAATCAATCATCGATACATTGAAAATATATAAGTGAATAATCCAATTAACTAACCATTTTTGTAATAACATTTATATTTTTAATAAGTGTATATCTCAGCTCGGTCATTATTAGTATATGTGTATGATAACAATATGATTTTACAGCGGTCATTTGAAAAAAGACTACCATATTATTTAATGATATATAATATGATCGGTTCAATTTTTCATGTTATAAAATGACCACAATTAGTCTTATAATATCTATAATGTAAATATAATTTTTGAAAATTTTAATCCAACATAAAATAAATATTTTTTGAGAAACTATAAAATAAGAATAAAAATTACATAAATGAAACTAAAAATTTGATAAATAAAAAAAAATGTTGATAATACTATTCAATGTCAAAAATAAAGTAATATAATTAATTATTTGGAAAAAAATATGTCATTTATGAACTATATAATCATTAAAACATTACGGTAGTCATATTTCAAATGACTACTGTAAAATAATTCATGATAACAATTTTAAGATATTAGAGGTATTAATTTTACAACAATAACTTCCCTAACTATACATAATTAAACAAATGACTTCATTTAAAGTACTAGTTAAGATTAGTTGGAAAGAACTATTATCTATTTAATTTTGTACGGTCTTCAAGATATTGACCATCCGATCAATATCATTGATTATATATTAACAAAAACTATACAAAATATCAGTATCATAATATCACACATTGAGATGATGAATAACAATATATATCATGACTATGGAAAATTTTCAGTCAGATTTTTAAAATTTGTCTTTAAAAATTGAAATGAGCACTATATTATGAGACGGAGGGAGTATAATTAATTGAGCTACAGAAGAATAAGTTTGATTATGACCTTATTCATTATAAAAATAAGGCAATTTGAAGAAAAAATATTTCTATAAGCTCAACTCGGTTATATATAAGGCTAGCAAAATACAATAATTATTACGAGTATATAATAGTTTTAAAATACTTTACATTTGAAATATTTATGGTTGAAACTAAACTACTAAAATGATTTACTACTGCATGTAAATTATGTACTGCATTTAGATTGAGGTGTCAATTCAGGTACCTTGGTTGGTGGTACTCAAGACTTAATCAAATCCGTCTATAATATTTTCCCTTGTTGCTTTCTCCACACCAACATAAAATAATTATAATTTCATGTACAATTACATCTAAATTCATTCATCACATTACTGTCATTTAAAACCTACCTATTTACGAGTAGCCAAAAAGTAATACACTATATACAAGTCTTTAGTCAATGTAAATATGTAATTTCTTTTTTGACGTGATTCACATCAACTATATAGTATACATGCATTAATTATTAAATATGAACATTATACGGCTTGTTGATTGACAAAATTAATTTTTTAGTTGAAGACTTATGTTATCCCTTTATGTATTACCTTAGATTCCAAACGGCTCTTTAACAATTCTAAGAAATCATCAAACGGCCAATTAAAATTAAGAAAATGTCAATATTTAAAATATAATTATTTTTGGGTTTGACAACTACGCAAATTACAACGTGCAATCCACATCTTATGTACGTGTTCTTTTTCTCTCTATACTTCAACTTGTTCTTCCTGTTTTTCGTTGTCAAATTTCTTCTGTCTTCTTAGCTTTCCAACGCTTAAAAAACTTCTTTCTTTAATTTGTTTCACATAATTTTTAGAGCTTCTACGATCATCTTTCATGCCTTCGGTAAGATTCTCATTTTTCTCTATAAAAACCATATATTAGTATTGATGTTTTTACTCGTTTGTTTTTTTGTGCTAAGGAATTTGGTTATTGTGTTTGTATATAACTATGATGAGAAAATCTTTGATGTTCATGCATGCTTTTCTAAACTTTTAATGAACGCGATGTTTACATTCAAAGTCAATAAGGTTCATCCCTTAAACGTTCTCCTGTGTCATAATCATTGTTGTGTTGTAATAACTTAACTGTAAAGGCGGCTTTCCCTTGTTGTTGTTGTTGTTTTTGTTGTATGAGGTCCTCCCGGCAAGGAAACAACTATTTATTTCTTCTATCTAATATGTAAACTTTGTAACATTAAAGATTAAATATTTACATTTAAGGTTTTTAAATTGTTTGATTTTATTTTACTTTTACTTTGGTCAACATGTTTAACACATGTGCATTGTCTTAACTTACCTATAGAGGCGTATTTATTTGTACCTTTTACATCACTTGTCCTGTCTGTCCATTAAATCTATCTCTTAGGGCAAACATTTTAGCTTTGGGTGTATAAAGTTAACCTAAGATATTTACACTTTGATGTATTTAGACTTTAGAGGGCTATACGGCAAATTTAATCAAGAGAAGCGTGAGAAATCAGACATTTCAAATTAATTTCTGCTTGTAACATATAATAATCTTAAAACTCAAAGTTAACTATACTCTCTAATTAGATTCAATTTGGCAACTATTGACAGCCTACTTGTAAGCTGATTTAAGATCAGTTTGTGCTATATATATGTGAATATGTGATTAGTTGATTATGTGGTTTTTGGTAACGAGATGGCTTGGAATGAGCTTATATGAGGATCGATCATGCTTATTCAGCCCTCTTCCTTCAATTGTTGTCACATTACTTGTGAGTCGTGAATATAACCACTCAGAAGAACCTAGTAGCTTCTTGGCAACAGTTAATGCCCAACAAAAAGACAATTAAGAAAAAACTATGCTTAAGTCAGTTAGCCAGTTAGGAAGGCTTTTGAACAATTCTCTTGTTCGTTTAGAATTTTTTTATTAGTTATAGTTCTAATTTCTTGCAATGTATTATAATTATGCTGTAGAAAGCAAGCAATAATGCAGGAAACCGATCCTTGCCAAAATTCGGAGAATGGGACGTGAACGATCCTCAATCAGCTGAAGGTTTTACATTAATCTTTAACACAGCCAGAGATCAAAAGAAAAATGATAAGACTAATGCTGGCGCTTCAGGCACTAATCAAAGTCCTAATCAGAACAACCAAGGCAAGCAAAAGCAAAAGCAAAAGCAGCAACAAAATCAGAATAATCAGCAACATACTTCGGTAAGACTCCTACTATCATAAATTTACTTTATTCAAGTAATTAAGTTCATTTAGTTGATTATTCAGGATGCTCGAAAATAATTTTGATTGTATTGTTTGGTTTAATTGTAGGTGAAGCATAAATGGTTAAGTTGCATATTTGGTAAATAATGTTGGTGTACTGGTTTTGCTTCCACATTGTAATAGAAGGTGGCATGTTAATGTGAGATTTATAATTGTTTTGCTAAGATTTAAGCAATTGTACGACCGAAATGTTGTGAAGTAATGAAGCTTTTTAAACAATCTTCTGCTCTTAGAATTTATATGGTTTTTGAGAATTTTGTGGGAAATCGGCGATACTTTTCATTTCCTAAGGTAGTACAAGGATCAAGGTACGAGTTCAATCCTTATGGAGAGTAACGACTGGCCAGTTGAGTTAAGTGAATGGGAGACGATGTTGGGTTGACGCCCAGGAGAATGAACGATTTTTTTTTACTACTGTAGTAGAAGTGTAGAACACAGCACTGCCTCAGTCCATAACTAACTTGAAATTAATGGTAATGATTTATGATGAAACTGCAACAAATCATTTACTTTATATATTATATTCATCATCGGGTAGAAATTAGCTTGTTTTTGAAATAAGTGATTATATTCAGGATGACATAAAACACCGATGAACATACTAAAACAGTTAAGACTTAAGAGCACCAGCAGGCAGCCAATCTCCACACAAATCAAGATCGTAAGTCAGCCAGATTTCTTTCTAATCTACCTATTGATTTTTACCTTGCATCCCACAATCAACTACGGGTATATAATATTGACCAGTACCTGTAATGGCTGACAAAAGACGAAGGTGAAATGAGTAAACTGAAGTATTTTCACCTCTATTCTCTGATTCAGCAAATCTTAAAAGCATGTAACATCGATTAACAGTTATCTGTATGGATGGGATCAGTATATATAAATAAATTGTTTGCTGATAGGGGTATGCAACTATGCATTCAGCAACCACAAAAAGTTGTCAAATTCCTCAAGTTAACAAGTATGTAGGTGCAACTTTGCAAAATCTGAAGACGGCATCCTTTCTTGACAGTGATGCCAGCAATGTTGCCAAAAAAACAAAGTTTTGCTCATTGGAGAACATCACATTACCCAGCCATCACCCCAATCTGACTCGACATTGTCACCAGCTGGAGATTCCAAATTAGTAGCAACTTCAGGGTTGGGTGAGCTGTGATCTTGATCAACTGGAGGAACTGGAGCAACTGAAATTGCTGGTGAGCTGTTATCGGGATGATGAAACAGACAATTTCGACCATATTTGCATGTACCTTGCAGCTCATAGTTCCGGCAAACTTTGCTACCCTGATGATGGCAAAAGTTAAAGCAATTGTGAGCGATATAACATATACATATAAGTGAAAAAAATGAACTAATGAAGGAGATTTGATAACATATTGATACAATCATACAATTGACTGATTACTATGGAAAGATATCTGCACAAAGATCTACACTTAAGAGTTCCATTTCAACAACAGAAGATGTCAAAAAAGCCACCAGGTAGCAATATTTTAAGACATAGTCGTTAAAGTTAGGGTACATACAGGTCTTAGAGGAAGGCCTGACTCATTGAGAGCACATGGAGATGATGTAGACATTCGGTCCCTTGGATGGTGGTATCTACACGCAGATTTAAATTTACAATTGCCAGTTTTCATGAAGAATTCACACTCTGGCTGTCCAGGCCGTTCAGGGTACTGTCCATTCTGCATTTGCTGCTGCTGATGAGATGTTCCGTTTTTCCTTGGATTGCCAGGATTTAAATTAGGAAGCTCAGGGTTTTTCTACAAAAACCAATTACAATTTCATAAAGCAAACTAAACACAATGATATAATATCAAAGTGAGAAGTTAGAGTAGCCAGTTCTAGTTGTATAGAACTATAGAAGGAAACAGTAAGACATACAGATTTAGAGTAGAGGCCTTTTGAGGAAAGCAGCGGCAGACGTAGCTTAGAGTCCTGACTTATTGGATGGTTATACCTGCAAGCAGCTCTGTATTTGCAGTCTCCAGTTTTCATGAAAAAATCACAATCAGGTTGCCCTGGTCGTAAAGGAAACTCTTCCGACTGTAGTAAGTGTTCATAATGTGTTGTAGGATCTGCTTTCTTCGAGAGGTTGTTTACAATTTGATGCGGAAGTGGAGTCTTTTTTGCTGACAGAGAAAGGTTGACCTGGGCCAGAAAAAGTAGAAGAAAATTAATGAAAAGCTACTTGTCCTAACAAGAGAGTATTTGCCACTAATTCACTCTTCAGACAAAAAAAAGTAATTGCATTGAAATGCAAGCCAGAATCATTAAGAACTTCAAAACACAAATAAGACAAAGGACACAGTAATCTAGTGTTTAAAACAATTTTCTAGAATAATTTGATCCTCAGTAGCTTAATTAATGTAGCTGTATGCTATCCAGCAATCATTGCAGTTTTGTACTAACTACCAAAGCAGAGGGTGTCCTGGCAAGAAATTGAGCACCATACAATAATGTTTTTTTAGTTGAAAGCAAGTATGGAAGCAAAATGACAAAAACTCAAATCAGTTACAACCCTAAAAAGAAAACCAAGAGGAAAAAAAAGGATGCACATAAACATGATACAGAAGAAACCATAACCTGGAGGGACAAGACTCAGGAGTTAAAACCCTCATACTCAAATTCCCTTGTGGTGGTGGAATGTGGCCATGCGGGGTTGACCTAATGGTGATTGGGTCTTAGCCCATCAAAATTTGGGGTTAAAGGGGCTTTCATAAGTTTCATCATAAGTAATTTGGCTCCGAGAGAGGTAGGATTTGTGTGGTCATCATTACCTATCTCCAAAGAAAGCACATATGTGGTAAAAAGTTGCACTTTCTCAGAAGATCTTAAAATGTATGGTAAGTTTCACTTTCAAAGAAAACCGCTGTAGGCAGGGTAAGAAGTAATAATTTATGCAGACTTACTTAATATGATGATAAAGAGACTATTTCCAATTTAACCTTAACTTAATACATAATAAGTTAATAACTGCCTATTATTTCATGTTAGTAAGAAAAGGAGAAGAAAATTATATAAGCTACGTTAATCAAGTCCATTGTATTTCAGAAGTCAAAGAATTGAAAATGTTACTCCGTAACAATGAACATTGGCTCCAAGCTTTTTTATTATTCCACAATAAAAAAGAACAATTAGTCCATAATATTTCAAAGTCAAAAAATTGTGAATATTTAAACTCATCAGAAAAGGACATAAACAATAAGCCTCCAAGTAATTTTTTTTAAAAAAAAAAAAAAAAAAAGGGAAATTATTTTGTAAGCAAATTGTGCAAAGATTTATATTCTGATTTTAAAAATAAAAAAAGAAAGAGATGTGAACACTTCATATGCATCCTTTTACAGAAGTACAGGGACTAGCTAACAGGTGAGAAGAAGACTGTAGTCAGGCAAATTTGAGTATACATTTCACCTCCCAGCAGTTTGCAAAATTATTTTGTAAGCAAAGTATTAAGATTACGTATCAAAACATGTAAAACATGTTGGTACAAATGTGAAATACTTGGAGTACATTAAGAACAAAGAGATGTACCACACTTTCAAAGAGAAGTTAAAGAGAAATTTTTAAAATACTCATATGCCTAAAATACGTGAGAAAGGTCAAGAAGATTGCACCTGATCTTGGTTCCAACGAGCATTTTGAGGCAATGCTTGGTGATAAGAGCTCATTCCAGCATAAGGCAAACCATTCATTGAGCTTAGGCCATTTGCCAAGTCTGGGATACCCCGTGCTACCCCAGAAGTTTGCAATGGATCACCAACATACATTCCTGAAAAATTGTTGCTACCTCTTGCATATACACCATTACCCAAGGAGCTTCTGGCCTCAGATTCTTTCGAAGCAATAGGATCAGGATGATGGAATCTGCAATTAGCTCCATAGCCACAGGAGCCAGTACGCAAGTAAAAGGTGCACTCTTGCTCCGACTAAGGTAAATTATAAGGAAAAAAAAAAGGCCATTAATTTCTCAGTTTATTTAGAAGTCTCTGAGCAGTATACATTGCTTAACACAAGAGGCAAACTTGGAATCAAAAAAGAAACAATAATATAGTCTTACCGGTCTAACAGGTAAACCTAGAAAATTAAGCTCTGGACCTTCGTTCTCAACTTTCTGTGCAGAGTGATTATATCTGCAAGCATCTCCATATTTGCATCCTCCTGGTGTCCGGAAATACTATATAATAAAAAATATTTAATAATAAGAACAAAATAAAAGATATCAGTGAAACAAAATCTAAAGAACAATGCATCAAAGGCAGCATAACATAGCTTTATTACATCAAATGCTCAGATTAAAGGGGTGTGATTACAAAATCATAACCTCAACAGATAAGATCAAGACTGACATTCACATAGGGATACCTATGCTTGCATTAGAGGGAAAAACAGTAGCCTCATCTTCAGAGTAATGTGATTGTTAAGAAAACAATTACAACACGTGATTTATTTATGCATTATATTGAGAAACTGGAATAAGAAAATAAAAATTATGATGACAATTGCTATAGGTTTGTGCATTTCTGCAGTAAAGGATAAAATAGTTTCCTTATCCACAAAAAGAACATAAATTCCCTAATTAATACCGCGTAATAACAAACTCAAACCACATCTAGTCTAAGGTGCTTTAGGTTTGTGCATTTCGCAGTATAGGATAAAATAATTTCCTTATCCACAAAAGGAACATAAATCCCCTAATTAATACGGAGTAATAACAAACTCAAACCGCATCTAGTCTAAAAGGTGCTTTAGGTCTAGTTGTACATTTTACATCAATGGACTATAGTCAAATAACATTTCTCAAACTTGCATCTTGTTTGCATACCCAAGCAGTCAGCCAGTCACCAGTTCAAGGTTTGGATGCAATATCACCAATAATGATGATACTTTTACAAATTGCTTTATTGAGCATGCAATTTCTAGTGCAAGCATGTTAAATAATTGATAAATACTCAATCTAGTATAACTGTATAAAGCCAGCAATTTATATCCAAATAATTAAATTATCCAATAGAAACTAGCAATTTTAATAATTGATAGGTTAAATCTAATTATTTAGAGAGGATTACTCTGTTGCACAAGAGCCAGTTAGTCCAGCCTTAAAGCATAAAGATATCGTAAATTGACTGCATCAACTACATTATTACTTATTCTAAAAATAAAAACACTTACACAGTTACACATTCTTCTTCAATGAAATTCATGCAAAAATTCTCCACTAATTCCTATCTGTAATGTGCTTCATATAAGAAGTTAGGTGATATATATGTATCTCAAAAATATAGTTTCACAAAACAAAGACACTCTAACCATGACGTATATAATTTTTTCAAAGAAAAGGTATACACCAATAACATACTTCCTCTGCTTCTCTAATATTGCAACAAGGGGAAGACACAGAATTTAAGATGAGGAGAAAGATAGAGATAAATAAATATAGGGGCCACGCGATGAGGAGAGAGATAAAGGGAAAGCTTTTGCAAATATATAGTAATGTTGCAATATTTGTGCAACTTCCTAAAATGGTAATTATTGCAATATTAGGGGAGCCGAGAAAGTATTAAACTTGCCAAGTCGTGTCCAGAAAAAAGTATCCAACGTCCATATCCGTGTCTATGTTTCAAGGACCTAACACAAGTTGTTGAGATTATATGGATAGTCACTCGACGTTTTTTTTTAACCTCTTCTCTTTCCTTATGTACCCTATTAGGATATAGATTTGAGAAGAGTGTAAATCTAACATGGGTTTAAATGCTCCGGAAAGAATTAATACAAAAAAGGAATTTTAAAGAGGATAAAGGAAGAATGCAGGAGTAATGAAGCATATAGTTCCTCAAATTACACTTTTGAAGTCACATATCATATAAGTAAAGAAAATGAATACAAAAGGTCATTATGATGCAGAATGACACAGACCATAACCATGAACTCAAGCCCTCGATGAATAGAATTGACCTGTATCATAGTACTAAACAACATTGCTTTTGTCTTAAAACTTCATATAATTTGTCTCAGAAATGTCTCCCCTAAACAAACACATACACACAAGCTCATACACAAAACCATATATTCCTCGAAAATACCAGCTTGCTTATGACATTAACATTACGAACAATCTTAGCTAACTCTCCAAAAAAACATTTCCCAAAAACAGACATTAAGAGGTTTGCTTTCAGACAATTTTCCTACAAACATTATTTTAAGCAAACTGCAGGCCCACAACTTAACTCCGGAAAATACTTAGTTAGAGTAGTTGCTCTGGCAATGCAACTATTATAACAAAACAATTGATACAATTTTATGCAAAAAGAAAAGAAAAAAAAAACATTCAAGCATACTTAAACAAATCATGAACAACATTTCTCGTATCAAGAACACATGGTAAGGGGTCAAGGTCAAAGTCAAATTAAACATCTTTTTTATTCAAAACGAAATCTACGGGATAATAAAATACTAAGCATTCTTAAAATAATGTATATAAAAAGCAACAACCTTGCAATCAATCTTCCCAGGATCAACAAATGTTCCATTGTTCTCCTCAATTCCTTTCTCCTGGTCCAGAGCAACCTAAAAACAACAAAACAAATCAACATCATAAAAACCAACAACCGAAACCCGAAAGAAAAAACCCCAAATCTGATATACCTTAAAACCCTTCTCGGGAGGGTGATTAAATCTACAATTTTGTCCAAATTTGCAAGTACCCGTCTTCAGATAAAAGGTGCAATCAGCAGCATAAGACCTTAAAGGGTATAAATGTAATTTCTCCTCTTCTTCATCTTGTTCATTTTCTCCACCTTCAATCTTCACATCAACCTCATTACCTTGCAAAACTACACCCTCAAACTGCTGTGCAAGAAGCTCTTCCTCAGTAACTTGTTCATCCCAGTGGGTCCCAGTTGGAGAAATCCCTAATTTAATTTCATTCTGGATTTCAATAGATGAACTGATTTCTTCACAGGTTCCCATAACTTTCTCTCTCCTCTATTTTTTTAACAGAAACCCCAACAACAACACTGAAAATCAATGAGCAAGAAAAACAGTACCTAGTTATATAATAAAAATATAATATAAAGTGGGATATATAGTACCATATTAATAGCTACTGCTAGGTGTGAAAAATAAATGATAAAAAAAAAAAAAAAAGCAAGTTTATTTCATCAGTGGAGATTCTCACAAGTGCCGCCTTTTCTCTATTTTTTTGTTTTCATTTCTACTTTATTTTTTCATCTCCAAAAGTACAATCAAAACCCACCAATTTTATTATTAAAATTATTGAAAATATTTTATAAAAATTAAATTGCAATACAGTACTAAAAAACACCTCCTTGGCTTTTTTTTTTCATCAAAAAACCCAAAATTAAGAAGAAAAAAGTAAAAATTTGCAGATGAGATAAAATCATATTTCAGAAACATTCAAATTATACTCATTTAAAAAGACTGATAGATTTTTTGTTAAAAAAAAAAAAAAATCGAAATTTTAAACATTAAAGTTACGAAATTGCAGAAATGATAATGTTTAATCCCTAAAAAATTCAAAATTTCAGGAAAAATAAATTTTTTTAATCATCGTTAAAAAAAACGTAAGCGATTAAATAAGAATTCTGGAATTTCATACCTGATGATGAGATCAAACTTCAGTGAGTGAAATTGGAGATGGTAAACCACATTGTAAGAAACGTCACAGTTCCCAAAAAATCGGCGGAAAAATTAGGACTAAAGAAAAGAGAATTTTAGGGTTTGATTGGAAGAAGGAAAAAACGAAAACCCTAAAAAATTGGGGAAGAAATGAAATTGACGGAAGCAGAAAAGAGATTCTCTAAAATACGGCGTAAAATTGTGAGGAGAGAGAATCTGATTGGGTAGCTCCACCATCACCCCCCACTCTTTTTAGTGTACTCAACACTGAATTGCTTAATTTTTTTTTTTTATTTTTTTTTTTTCATTTTATTTACAAAATTAAGAAAATGTTTTTTTTTTTTTTTTTTTTTAAGTGTTAATTTACTGTAGTTGCATCATCAATTTTATGGGCCGAGAAAGGGAGAAGTTAAATTCTGCAGTGGTGGTGGACCCTATTTTCACTGTTTTCTTAAAAGCCCATGTCATTTCCCACTTTTTTTATGAGAATTTTCAATTTTTTATCAGCAATTTTTCTGAAAGGAAATTTTGTTAATCAATAATCATCAATCATATCATATCATATCACTAATAAATAAAGTCGGTCTCGCAGATAGGTCACGAGACAACGACTCATGTCATTCCAATTTTTCACCAAGTGTCATGCACGTAGTGACAAATAAGTATTATTGTGACATATATGATGTTCAGTAAGCGAATTTTGGATGATTTTTTAAGATAAAAATATTATATAGAGTTTTATTATCAGTATACATTTAATATTTCATATATGGGATTAATCATAACTTTTAATAAATATCCTATAATTCAGTTTTATTTCCACCATAAAATTCGTTTTTAAAAATAAGATTCATTCATAATATATTTAATTTATTTACAAAAATAATAGAGTAACTGTAAAAACAAGTTTTAATCAGGAAAATTAATTTTAGTGTTGGTAAAAATACTTTCAGTTTAGTAAAAATAATTTCAGTTCAATAAAATATATTTTGAGTTTAGTATGTTTAAATATCATGCATTATCAAAACAAACCTAGTAACTACTATATAAAGCTAAACTTTTAGCCAAGTCCCGAGACAGCGACACTTGACATTCTAACTTTTCGCCAAGTGTCTTGCCACGTAGGCGACAATTAATTATTAATATGACACGTAGGATTTATTTGAATATATTTTTTGTAGAAAGAATAAAAAAAGTTGGATAAATATAGTAGGATAAAAAAGTTATTTTATTGTTATATTTTCAATAAAAATTTGGATAGATTGAGTAGGATAAAAAAGTTGTTTTGGAGTTTTATTTTCAATAAAACTTTGGTTTAGAATTTTATTTTCAGTAAAATACTAATATTTTTATACAAATGACATATCCATAGAGGTACAAAAGGAAAAATAAAAAATCAAAGCGATTAGTTATTATATATTACCATTCTCTTAAGTCTTAACATGCAACCAGTCTTTCTCTAGATGTTCATAGAAAATGAAAAGAGATCACAGCTTTAGACAACCGTTCTATTTGGTTGTACATTATTACTTCTATTTTTTTTTAGATTGTCAAATGATTATTAATCTATAAAATACCCATAAACGGACAAGTATGATTGTTAAGTGATTATTAATCCATGAGACGAAAATTCAAATAACATATACTATATATTTTAGGTAAAAAGTTTTATTATTTAAAATTTAATAAACAACCCGAGCATCGCACGGGCACAAAACTAGTCATCACAATATATACTAAAAGACACACCATCAATTGCATGTGTCATCTCCTGGTGTGTCTTTAGTTACGCAATTTCTTTTTTTCCAAAATAAAAATCTATTAACTAAAGAAGCAAATCATTTACAAAAATAATATTTTTTTTATTCATATTCCATTTGAACACGTAGTAATTATTATATTTAAAATAAAAAGATTTCACAACTCTTTCTAAAAAAAAATTGGATAACTATAAACCAAAAATCAATCAATCATCAATAATCAATAATCAATAATATATACTAAAAGACACATCATCAATTACATGTGTCATCTCCTGCTGTGTCTTTAGTTATACAATTTCTTTTTTTTCCAAAATAAAAATCTATTAATTAAAGAAACAAATCATTTACAAAAATAATTTTTTTTATGCAATTCTATATTAACACATAGTAATTATTATATTTAAAATAAAAAGATTTCACAACTCTTTCTAAAAAAATAAAATTGGATAACTATAACCAAAAATCATATTATTAATATAATTTGTGCCCAGTTTTACAATAAGAAAAAATATTGCTCATATTTTTTGCCTACTTTTGTTTTGGTTGTGTATTAGAAGCTACAATTAAAAATTACAAATACCAAATCAACATATCACATACTTTTATTATTCCTCGACTAATTGATGATTATAATACTTCTCAATGAATAATCTATAAATATAGATCACAGTGCATGGCACGGGATCTATCCTATTGACTACCGATTTTAGAGTTTGTTTTGAAAATAACTACCTGTTTGAAAAATAACAACGACTTAATATTAAAACAGACACCGAAAGTGACACGTGTCACATCTTGGTGTTGTTTTTTCCTCCAAAACTCCCCCCCCCCCTCTTTAACCAATTTTTTTAAAAAAATATTTGATACAACTATAATAATAATATTCCAAATCTTTTATATTATCTTTATGGTGTATATTTATTTTTATTTGGTTTTCATAATTTTTCCCTACACATTTACCAAAAATATTATTCCAACTTTCTTTTTAATTATCTTTTAAACGGAGTATTATTAGATTTTACTGAAAAAGTAATAATAAAAGTGATTCATATAATTGATATTGAAGAAATTAATTTAAAACATCACTTAATATTTTATTTCAATTTAAATATTAACTATACAGTCAAATTAATGACAATTTTGTTTCCAAGAATCTGTAAGTATATATATTAAAAGCGAATAAAAATGACACGTGTCATTTCTTGATTAAAAATTTCCCCACCTATATTCCTTTCTTCTTTTGATTTTTTTTGGGTTTGTTGTAATGTTAAATCTTCATCACGGTATAATATACAACATTTTCTTTTTATATTGCAAGATATGATATTAGAAGATTATCCAAGATTACTACAAAGTATATATTATAATTCTTTTATTTGGCAATAAAGTTAATTTCAATTAAAATGAAAATAATTTTAGTAACACATATAAATGCATATATATAATTTATTTTCTATTCAGTTTAAAGCTTTTGTGCAAAAATTCTGACCATTTTTAATTTCAACTAATCAATAAAAAATATATAATTTCTCCAACAATACTATTTTTTTTCTTAAAACCCTGCTACTCGGTAACTATAAAAAAAAAAGTTGATTATCATAGAGTAAAATAAAATCAATAAATTTTCAAACGTTGTGCCAGAGAAAGTCTATCAACAACACGAAGGGTATAACTATATACTTCCTCTGTTCCTAATTAGATGACACGTTTCTTTTATCACGTTTGCCAACGCATAATTTTAACGATTTATATATCCCATTATCAACATTTTAAAATTATAAAAAGTGAATATTAATAAAATATACATTAAGACGATTCAAACAAGATCCCACATGATTATATTTTATCATAGCTACAAATCACAAAAGTTAGTCAAAGTGTTGTTTGTGAATAGTGCAAAAGTCAAACTGTGTCATCTAAAAAGGAACGGAGGAAGTATAAGTATATGTACTACATGTACTTATCTAAAATTTTCATTTTGTATAAGCAATATTATAAAACCTCATAGTCCATAAATTTCTTTCATATTTTATTTATAAAATATTACGGTGTATACATACATCAATAACCTTAACATCTTTGGTATGGCCGTATGATTGTTATTGAATTAACATTATAATTCATTATAAAATTTTGAAAAAACGGTGCATGGTACGGGTCTTAATCTAGTTTATAAGACTACCAAGTTTCTTCCAAAAGTATTGGTACACTACCTTTCACAATTTTCCGTCTAAAAACTTAACGGTGCATGTTACAAGGTCCCACCTATTAGACTTCCTTAAAAAAAAGAAAAAAAAAACACATAAAATTCCCTTTATATCTTCATTTAATCTCAATCACGCACCTCTTTCATTTTCTCTCCCGTCCCTCGTTGCACCAAACCTTACATGAGCCTTAATAAATATTTTCACCATTTCTCTCACTGCTCCACTCACATTCTTTTTTAATTCTTTGTTACACATCATTCTCAACTTGAAGTAAACTTTGATTATGCTCATTATCATTATATCACCACGGTAAATGCAGTAAAGCTACATGAACAAAAGGAAGGGCATCGATGGAAATTGTGGTTGATGGGAATTGAATTATGAACACTGGAAGAGTTAAGGTGGTTAAATAGGCAAATAAGTGGGGTTGTATAACGTGCACTGTTAATTTTTTGAATGAAAAACTGTATAAGGTAGTGTTACCAAAACTTTTGGAAGAAACTTAGCAGCTTTATAATTTTTTTATTTTATTTTAAACAGGCTAGTTATTTTTAAAACTGACTATAAACTTTGGTAGTTATTAACAAAATTTCCTAATTAAAATGCAAACTAATTTCCTATATAAGTCGATTTAAACACTATTTCTCACAATATCGTATACCTAAGCTTGATTTCAAGGTTCGGTATTTGCTAGTATAAAATCCCTAATAATGTTGGTGGTTCTATATATTTAAGGCTAAGGGGCTAACCAATAACGAAGAAATTGAAGCTGAATGTAGCAACAAAAAGGTTGATTGAGTATCAGATAGAATGAAAGGATTGCTTCTCGTTTATACTTTTTAAAAGTGTATATATAGATATGAGAATAATGTACCCTAAAAATATAAGAAATACTTTAAGAAGAATAGTTGTCAACAACAAATATAAAGCTTTTAGCTAGCTTATAACCATCCAGCAATGTATATTTAGTCCAATGCAAAAATATTGAATTAGAAATGAAAGTTACCATATCTCCTATCCTCAATCCTAAATTCTCTATAATCTAAAAAACTCTAACTAAAATTGCAACTATCTCAACACTCGGTATCTTTTCTCTTTCCAGGGGCTTCAAATCTCTAGGCTACAAATCTTAAAATCTAATAATTTCAGTTCAATAGGTTAAATTTAAGTTCAACAAAAATAATTTCATTTCAGTAACAATAATTTCAATTCAACAAAAATTAGGTAATAAAACGAGGCCCAAAATAGATTACACTAGCTACATAACTAACACGTGTCATGTTTTCTACAGTGTATTAGTAACTAACCCTACTAATTATATAAGATTAGATGAAAGCCCGTGTGATGCACGATTTTTTCATACATAAATCTCCAGAAAATATA